GACCTGTCTTTTGTTCCCAATTTCTTCCCAAAGATTCGACACCTTTTGGAGGCTGTGACCCCAGAGAAAATTGGTAAGGAGACCCCTCCTGAAGTCACTGAAGAGCCGGGGAGCCAGGTCAGCAGGGAGGGCTTTTCCAATGAGAGGCTCAGGAACCCAAGAGCTCAATCAATGACTCTTGAAAAGTCAGGCTGGGACATGCTGGGTGACACATCTGTAATCCCACTTCCTTGGGAGCCTGAGGTGGGAAAACTCAAGTTAACACCTACCTGGGTTAGATATTGAGTTCAAGGCCAGCCTAGACTGCTTAAAGAAACCATTTCAACATTTCCTTCTTATTTGTTTGTTTGTTTTTTGTTTTCAAGACAGGGTTTCTCTGTGTAACAGTCCTGGCTGTCCTGGAACTCGCTCTGTAGACCAGGCTGGCCTCAAACTCACAGAGATCCGCCTGCCTCTGCCTCCCTAGTGCTGGGATTAAAGCCATGTGCCACCATTTCCCAGTTAACATTTCCTTTTTTTAAAAAAAGGGTGAAAAATAAAACAGCACTAAGAAAGTAGAAGCAGGCTGGGCGTTGGTGGCACACGCCTTTAATCCCAGCACTCAGGAGGCAGAGGCAGGCGGATCTCTGTGAGTTCGAGGCCAGGCTGGACTGACGGCCTCCAAAACAGAGAAACCCTGTCTCGTAAAAACCAAAAAAAAAAAAAAAGTAGAAGCAGGAAGGCCAAGAGTTCACAGTCAGGGGCTGGCGAACTGGCTTAGTGGTTAGGAGGACTGACTGATCATACAGAGGACCCAGGTTCGGTTCCCAGCACCCACACATTGGCTTACAACTACCTGCAGCTCCCCCTCCAGAGGAATCTGACACACTAACACGCATGTACCCACACATAAGCATACTCACATATACGTAAGTAATAACTCCAATAAATCTTTTTTTGTTGTTGCTGTTTTTCAAGACAGGGTTTCTGTCAGCTCATAATGGTTAAGAAATGAACTCGGAAGCCGGGTATGGTGACTGCACACCTTTAAACTCAGCAGTGGCAAAGGCAGGCGAGATCTCTTAGTTGGAGGCCAACCTGGTCTACATAGTGAGACGTGTCTCAAAAACAAACAAACAAAAAAGAAATGCACTTTGAGCATTTGCTGGTGACTAGCCTGGGTCTGGTTCTTGGTCTCCAAAGTCCAGGTTTTTGCCCCAACAACCTCAAAGAAGTAGGGCTGCTATGATCTTCCTACCCCACAGACAGGACCTTAGCCACTGTGCAGTCTCCCGAGGCCATCACCTTACAGGAGGCAGAGCCCATACACATGCTGCGGATTGAGGTGAGTTCCCCTAGACACAGGGTTACAGTCCAGCCTCGTTGTACCCCTGTAGTCTGCCTTTCTGTTTCCGTTTTCCCACATTCTGTCCTGTTAGTACCCACTCGGCTACCTTGGGCTTGACCTCAACAAGTCCACTCTTTCCTCTCTCCACAGGGAGAGCAGGATCTCCCAGAGGTCAGCCGAGGTGATCTGGACCTGCTGATTGCGGAGGAAGATGACGCCATATTGCTGGAGGAGCGTCGGCGCGGCAGGCTTCTCCAGCGGCGGAGGGTTTCTCCGGCTCTTGATGGTCAGATTCCTGCACAGCCAACCTGGGAATGGGCAGCGCCCTGTTCTTCTGACTAAGTCTCCTAAGTCTTCTGACTCTCTCTGCAGAATCCAAGGAAGAGCCCAGGGCCATGGAGGGTGATGGTGTGGTGTCCTCACTCTCACCTCCAGCTCCTGCACAGTAAGGGCAGGAATCCCTGTACCAGGTGAGGGGTCATTGCTGGGAAGGTTTCCCTTATCCGCCTGTTTCCCCTCAGGGTTGAAGGGCTAAGAGAACCACTTCCAGGTCAGGTCTTCGCTCCTGAGGTACCGAAGTTGACAGGCTGGGAGCCTGGGACCATACTCACTGGTAAGTGTCCATCACTTGGTGCTCCCTTGGGAACAGCTACACATCTGCAGAGCAAAAGTCCTTGCCCCACCTTCTGAGGGACACTGGTAGCTGCAAGAATGAAGGGCTAGCTGGGTGGCGGTGGCACACACCTTTAATCCCAGCACTCGGGAGACAGAGGCAGACAGCCAGAATTTAAGGCCAGCCTGGTCTACACAGTGCTACTCAAAGAAATCCTCTCTCCAAAAACAAAAAACAAAACAGGAGTGAAGGGGCCAGTCAAGTGTGGAGATAGCATCTGAGGCCCAGTCACTCCAGAAGCTGGGGTTGGGACAGGATTGCCATAAGCCAGCTTGGGTTAGAGTGACAGACATTGCCTTGAAAAAACAAAAACAAAATAACAGGGACTTATGGGTGCTGTTGCAGAAGTGACCCCACCTCAGGAGCTTCGACTACCGGCCCCACCTAGTGCAGAGGTGAGTAGGCCCTTCCCCAAGCAGCCACCTGTCTACCTTCCCCTCATACATCTTTGTCCTTAGGCCCAGGGCCACTGCTGGCTTACAGTGAGGATTTTGTTTACATCAGTAAAAGATGTCTCTTTCTGTACCTCACGGTGCGGCCGATCTTCCCAGTCGGTACCTCTGAGTACCCAAGCTTCTTCCCCAGACAACTGACAGGGGCAGAATGTGGGGCCACAGGAAAGGGGAGATGGACGGCCTGACCCTTGCCTCCCCTTCTACTCTAGAAGAGGCTCCCATCTCCTCCGAGCCGACCTGGCCAACGCCGCCGCCGCCGCCAGTTAGTATTCTGGGACAAGGAGACTCAGATCTCCCGGGAGAAATTTGAGGAACAGCTGCAGACCGGGGTTCACTGCCAGGAGTATGTGAGTGCGACTCAAGTTCTCCCTGGGGAGTAGAGGCACGCAGGTCTGGCTGGACTTCTGAACTCCCAGGGAGCCCTGGCAATATAACACAAGGCCCTAGTTCCTAGAAAGTGCATGTGTGTAGGCTGCATATACCCAGCACACCCACTGACACCAGGCTACCATTTACCCTGTTAGCCACTGCACCATAGTCAGCGCATGAGCCTCAAAACAGGCATAAGCCCTGGGAACAGTGTGCAAGGGAGGGGCAGTGGGGAGCGGCGCTCTCACAAAAGGGCCACTGGCCTTCCACCCCCTTGCAGCCCGTGGTCCAGCCTGGAAGGATGCTCACAAGCCCAGAGGAGCTCTTCAGAACCCCAACTCTTTGTAAGAAGGATGACAGTCGGGCAGGTGGGATCCTCAGAACCTGGAGTCCTCAGTCTTAGGATTGAAACCTTTCCCTTTGCTGTCAGCTGGCAGGCTGCCCCCAGAGCTACTAGCTTTGTGGACCCACTGTGCCCAGATACCCCCGAGAATGCTCAGAAAAAGACCACGGCTGGAGCCTGAAGAGGTGGCTGAGGAGGAAAGAAAGACTGAAGCTCTGAGTGAGATCGAGGTAACTGCCTCCACCGCGCCCTGGGAGCCTCAGCTCTGGCGAGCTCTAGCCGACTTTCTCCTGACCAGCGTGCTACTCAGGCCAAGACACTGGTGCCTGGCTCTCAGACCTTGCTCTCTCATCTGCAGGTTCTGAGGGAGGCCCAGGAGCCCAGTGGTCCCCTCATGCTCTCTTCAGGTGGGTGCTTGCACTCGAGGGCAGGTGGAAACCGTGTGCTAACCAGCCTCAGGAAGCAGGCCCCCCAGCTGCTGAGGCTGTTTCTAACAGGGAGGGCATACAGAGCATTAAGGAGACACAGACTCGATTCTCCAGTGATCCCACTCTGCACAAGGCTGTGTACAAGGCTCCAGAATATGGGGAGTAGTCCTGGGGACTAAAGCCAAGGCCTTGTGCATGTCAGGCAAATGCCTCACCATGGAACTACATGCCTAGCGTGGCTCCAAGGTCCCAGCTCTTAGAGCAAGCAGACTCTTCAATGTTCTCACCTTCACAGAGCTCTCCCTGGAAGCAGCTGAAGAGGAAAAGTCCCGCACCAGCCTCATCCCCCCTGAAGAACGATGGTAAGTAGCCAGGTGGCCCTACCTGTTGTCACAGTCACAACTACCCTTCCCCTCCCCTGAGCTGCCCCACCTTGTCTCCTAGGGCCTGGATTGAGGAGGGGCAGCCAGAACCTCCTGCACTGCCCATGCTGCCTGAAATCCCTGAAGTGCCCATGGAGATGCCCCCAGGGCCTGAGCTACTCTCTTCAGAGGCTGTCCATAGGTACCAGGGAGGGGTCCCTCAGGGGGTAGGGTAGGCTGTCACCCTGGCTAACAGTCGTCACTCCCTGCAGGGCAGTAGCACTGGAGCTGCAGGCCAACAGGGAGCCCGACTTCAGCAGCCTGGTGGCCCCTCTCAGCCCCCGGAAGCTGGCTTCTCGGGTCTTCTACCTGCTCCTGGGTGAGTGCGGGTGTAAGAGCGGACACACACACACACTCACACAGACACACTCACACACTCATAGACACACACACTCACAGACACACACACTCACACAGACACACACACTCACACAGACAGACACACACAGACACACAGACACACACACACTCACAGACACACAGACACAGACACAGACACACACACACACACAGAGGCCGGAAGCTGCTTCAGCACACTGCAGTCACTGTGTGACCTGCCTTCTCCTTCCCCAACCAGTACTGTCCACACAGAAGATCCTTCGTGTGCAACAAGAGAAGCCATATGGGCGCCTCCTGATCCACCCGGGACCCAGGTTCCACTGAGCAAGTCCATTAAACCATATCCTACCTCACCGCACTGGGCCCTTTTGTTATTGTCCTTTTCAAAGATTTCTTTCTAATTTTAAATTGTGTGTGAGGGTTGGGATGGGCAAGTGAGTGCAGTTGTCTGGGAAGGCCAGCAGAGGGCATCGAACCTCTGGAGACGGAATTCAAGGCAGTTTTGGGCCATCTAGTGTGGGTTCTAGGAACTGAAACTGAACTCTGTGTTCTGGAACAGTCTGCCCTCTTCAGTGCTGAGACATTCCAGCCCCTTGCCTGTCTCATTTCTGAACGCACACCTCTAGCCTTCCTGCTCGCAGAGCTGGTGTCCAAGCAGAAAACAAGCTGCCTTTATTACAGTGTGATGTCACAGCTCTGCTTGAATAGCTCCAGCCCCAGAGACACCCGTTAAGACAGCAAGCAGGATTGACTTCCAATGATATATAGTCTTTGGTGAGGTGAGCTGGGCCTGGGCTGACTGGAAGTCTCCGGGCCCTGGGGCCCGGCTGGAGCCTGTAGTCTAAGTGAGGTCCAGCACGGCCTGGAGTTCCAGAGCTTTATCAGCAGGCAGCGAGCCCAGGGCTGCGTGGAAGCTGTCGGCGTGCTGTTTGGCCAGGAATGTCAGGAGCACCAGCAGTGCCGCCTTGGTGTCTGGGTAGAGAGAGGACCTGATGAATGACTGGGTTCTGACACCCTCACTTGCCCCATTTTCCCTCGCCCTTAGCTATGGCTGTGGCCCTCACCTGGTGGGATCCTGTTGTCTGGCAGAATCAGGCTGCAGATACGCAGGAGCTCAGGAGCCACATCTACAAGCTAAGGAAAGAACAGGTCAACTCCTGCAGCAACAGCCTTGGGGCTTAGAGTAGGTGTTGGAATCGGGGAGAGAAGAAGCCTTGAAACCGAGCTGACACCCAACCCAACTGTGAACTTGAGAAGGAAAAGGAAGCCAATATAAAAAGAACAGGGAGGCAGAGGCAGGCGGATCTCTGAGTCTGAGGTCAGCCTGGTCTACAGAGTGCATTAGACTGCAGCCTACCACTCCTTGCAGAGGTCCCGCACGCAGCAGGGTACCTGGTCAGGGTTGTTCTGGTGCAGGAAGTGGAAGAGGCACCCGACAGTGATCCACTCCTCCATGTCCTCCTTCAGTGGCAGGGCGTGTAGCAGGGTAGCCAGCACCTGAACACGCACGCACATGTCTCAGCCCATGTGTCCTGTCCCCTCCACCCTCCTCAGCCTCTCCCCTGCCTGCTGCCCCTTCCTTCACCTGGGGCTCCGCTTTCCTTGTTGGACTGGCCATCAGCACACGGGCAAGAGCCCCACAGATGTTGTCACGGACTCGATCATGACGCTCCCTTGCCAGGAGGGGCAAAAGGAGACCCAGGAGCTTAGGGAAGTATCTGGTCCACAGTTAAGGAACACACACATTGGTAGACTTCTCCCTGCAGCAGCACCTCACCAAATCCCTGGGCTCACTTCCAACCCCAGCCCCTCCTGCAAGCATAGGATACTCCTGAGCAGGGGAGCCCCCATGCTCTACAAGGACACCCAGCCCGAAGATGGCATTGCTCCGCACCTCTGGGTCCGCTTCCCGGGCAGTGTTTAACAGTATAGGGAACAGCCGAGTTACAAACTGGGCTGAGGCAGGACCCAGGCCCTGAATGGACTCTGCCAGTGTTCCCACCGCAAAGGACTTCTCTGCCACCGTACAGCTCTGTTTCTGCAGGGGAGGTTGGAGGAATACAAATGGGCATGGAGGTGGTGTTGGGAGGGCAGGCCCCGGGTGCACGAGAGGCTGGAGGACAGAGCACTCACCATCTTACACAGCAGTAGCGGCAAGAAACTGGCAAAGAAAGGAGCGAAGGCATGTCCTCCAGCTGCGGCTGCCAGGGCAGGGATGGCCTCTCCAGCGTGCTCTAGTAACATGGCGTCATACTCTGCCTGTGGAGCCAGGTGAGGGGCTGGAGCACCAGGGCCAGCTCTGGGATTGTGCATCTCCAAACCCCGCTCTGCCACCGGCAGAGTGGTTCTGGGGCTGCCCTTGCCTCGCGGACCGACTGGTTTTCCAGGCTGGCTTTTTAGAGCCCAGGCCCTCCATTTATTGCTCCCAGTGCGGCCCTGGTGCACACCACTCTCCTCTGAGCACCTCACCGCTGTACTGAGGTGAGGGCGGTACCACTCTGGCAGCACCAACTTCTGGTAGCAGTCCTGGCTCCTCCGGGCCAGGCTGGAGGCACTGTCCACTGCTGACCCGTGGGGACTGACTAGATAATCTAGGCCGCCTCATCTGGGGCTCTCACCTGGTCTTCATCCTCATCTTCCTCGTCCTCCTCCATGTTCTGACAGGCTGTCTGTGGAAGACATGGTCCAGTTGGGGGTGTGCTCTGCTGCCTTCTCCTTTGCAGGGTGGTGGTGAGGTGGGCAGAGCTGGACTCAGAGCCTCTCCTGAGCCTGACACCCCTTCCCAGAGCCCCTCCATACTCACCTTCTTTTGCAGCACAGCCTTGAGCACGTTGCAGAGATCATTGAGGCGCTCAGAGGGGAACAGGGCGAGGCCCCCACAGGTGCGCAGCACCCCAGCCAGGGCGTCCAGCACCGCCATTACCACGGGGCGCTCCCTTTCCCCTTTCACTGCCTGTATGTAAGACGGTATCACTCGGGCCAAGGAAGACTGCAGGGCTGGGGACACAGTTGGCCAGAGCCAAGGTCAGGCTCTGCTGCACTGCAGTCTCCAGGGCTCCCAGCCCGCTAGCGGCTCCTCACCAGTCTTGTTGGCCTCGGAAGGGTTCCTCTCACAGGCCTTATGTAGTGAACAGCAGAACTGCCCCAGAGCTTCATGAGCTGCTTTCCGCACATTCAGATGAGGACACTGGAGAGAGAGGACGGGCGTGTGCCGGGCATGCGCAAGGTGAAGACGGCCCTCACTAGAGCTGGAGGACCCACAAACGGACTCACCTCCAACAGTTTGATGACTTCATCAAAGACGTTATCCATGTACGGAAGGAAGGCCGCACTATGGAAAGACACACAGCAGTGGGAAAAGGGCCCTGGGTACGGTTCCCAGCACCGGGGAGGGGCTGGTGCTCACCTGGCGTTTATAGAGATCTCCCCCAGGGCAGTGCAGGTGTCTTCTTTCTCATCGAAGAAGGCATTCTCCACACTGTACCTAGGGGCAGTTGGAGGGGGCAGTGGTGACACCCGCAGGGGCAGACCCAGCACTGGACCGTGTCTAGAATCAAAGTCTACAGTCTCTCTGTTTTTTATTTCTTGGCTTTCTGAGACAGGGTTTCTCTGTGTATCCTTGGCTCTTCTTGACCAGGCTGGCCTCAAACTCAGAGTCACTGCTTCCCGAGTGCTGGATTAAACTCGTGCACCACCACTGCCCAACTCAGAGTCTATACTCTTCAGCAGAAGAGCATTCCTCCTACCCTGAGATCTCAGAGTCCTCCTCCTCTTCCATATCGTCGTCATCCATGAGGTCCTCTTCTTCTTCCTCTTCACTCTCATCATCAAACAGAAGGAAGGAGCTGATGCCGTCATACTGAGGCTAGACAGAGAAAGCAGGGCAGGGACTTTGGCTCAGGTGGGACCAGGAGACAAACCCCACCACAGGGCTAGCCTGGTCCAACTGGCCCGTTCTCCCTCTTCTGCTCACCACAATGCCCTCGGTGGAACGCAGTGACAACAGCATGAGCGTGGTAATCTGAGGCAGGTAGGGTGCCAGGCCATCTCCCATTAGCCCCGATAAGGCTGCAAACAGGCTGTACCTGAAGGTACAGAGAAGCTATATGCTGCTGCCTGCTATACAGACCAAAGGGGAGACCCCAGGGACCCTGGCTGTGGTCCAGTATCAAAGGACGGGAGTCTGGGATGAAGACTGTCAACACAGTGGGCGGGCAGGAGAGCAGGGCAGCATGAAGGTCAGTCACTCACGTGCAGCGCCTCAAGTCAGGATCGTCTATGTGGCTGCATAACCCCAGCCCTAGCTGACAGCATTCCTCAGCCAGGGGTCTCATGGCCTCTCCCAGTGCTCGAGCCAGCACTCCCAGGGTCTCTGTGGGAACAAGAGCTCAGCCAGCACTGAGATGTGGACGTCGACCAGAGAACCAAGGGTGGCAAGCGGAAGGCATTCAAAACTCTACCCTACTCTCAGGTACGACACGAAGGACCCCTGTCCATCAAAGGAAGACACTCAACCGCCCAGGGAGAGAGCCCTGTAAACACCAGGTGAAGCCTGGCCTTACCTGGGTGCAGACAGCCTGCCTGAAAGCCCCTCCTTACCCAGGCTCTGGATCTGCACAAGCTGAAGTTCTTCATGGGGGGTCAACAGGAATCCCCGGAGAAGCTCCAGGACGGTGGGGAAGTAGGGCAGCAGGGAGTCTTGGGCAGCCGTGGCTTCAGGACAGAAGAGGGTCAGGCTGGCAGGGGGTGGGGACTGCCCGCGCCACACCGTCACCACCTGGGCCCTTTGCTCACCAATGGCCCCTATGGCGCTCACAGCCAGTTCCTTGGTCCGGGCTTTGCTGGGGTTCCTCAGGGGCTGCAGCATACACTCCATAAGCTCCGGAATGTAGGGCTGCACTTTGGGCCCTAGGTTCTCCACAAAGTTCTCCAGGGCATAGCAGGCCTTGGCCAGGTGCTGTGTGTTCCCTGGAGGCACCGACTTAAGATAGGCAAGGAGCAGCGGCATCACTTCCTCTGAGTAGCTGCTGATGTGGGGCTGGGGAAGAAGTGAGAGAGGCCGGTCAGGCTCACCTGCAGAGCACGCCTTAGTGCCAATGGCAGCGAGGATGTTTAAAGAGAAGATAGCTTAAGGGACAAGGGTCCCCAGCCGTGGGGTGGGGAGCTGTCTCATGTGGCAGTCATGCCCACTTAGCTTTGCTGACCTGTAAGTTATCTGAAAACTGGCCCAGGGCAAACAGAGCAGCATTGCGGACAACCTGTGAGGGGTCACTCAGGCCCTTGCACACGATCTGTAGCAGTGGGGACAGCAGTCTGAATGGGGCAGAACAGAAGAGCAAACATCTGAGGGGCAGGACACAGGAACCCTGTCTCAACCATTCTATTCATTTCCCCTGAAAAGGATCAAGACTCTAGCACTGGCGGTAAAAACCATCCTTTATCCCTGCAACGGGAAAGTCATTTCTCTTCCAAACCAAGACACTTTCGAAAGGCAACAAATATCATGACTATGAACAGTTATGCTCGGTGTGGTGGCGCACTTCTTCGATCCCAGCATGTGGGAGGCAGAGGCAGGCGGATCTCTAAATACAAGGACAGCCTGGTCTACAGAGTGAGTTCCAAACCAGGCAGGCCTGTTACACAGAGACACCTATGTCAAAACAACAATAACAACAGACTGAAACGCCCCCTCAAAAAATCATAAAACAATTAAGCTGGGCCAGCCTTGGTGATGCATATCCTTAATTCAAACCCAGCATTGGGGAGGCAGAAACAGGCAGATCTCTGAGTTCCAGGCCAGCCAAGGCTACATAGTGAGACCCTGTCTCAAACAAACAAAACATAAATAAAACCAATTAAAGTGAAACAGGGGTACTAGGACTGCCAGAGGATGTGTAGCCATCCTCTGTGTGACCCCTCACCCTGGGACAGAAAGCGATGTACCTTTGCCTGATGTGGTCACCAGCACCATCAGACAGGACGGCCAACACCAGAAACCCTGCTTTACGCTGGTACGGGGACTCACTCCGTAAGGCTTCTTCCAGCATGGGCATCTAGGGAGCACACGGCATGTTCCTGAAAGCCCGGCTAGAGCCCGCCTACTGCTTTCACAACAGGCCCACCACACCTCTGTTCCCAATTATCCTTGGCTTCAGGGGTAGCGAGAGCAAGAGAGTCACACTTACCACATGGGGACAGAGCTTCTCAGGGGGAAGGTGGAGTGCCAGCATGTCCACAACCTGAGGAAGTTCAGGCAGACTGTAACTCCATCTCTAACCTCCTAGAGTCACTTAACCCCTGCCCAGAAGCCACCTGTGATGACTAGCTCTGTGTTTGAGACAGGAGGGCTCTGACTGACCTGAAGCTCACAATCCCACCTCGGCCTCCCAAGTGCTGGGAGCTGAGATCATAGGTATCCACTGCCTCACCTGGTTGTGATGGCTGATTTTAATCATCAACTTCTCTTGACTGAAAAAGGATTAGGGGACTGTAGCAGTGTTTTCAGGGCCAATTAGACCAGAGGGCTCTGACCTAATGATGAGTTCATCACTTGATGGGCTACTAATTTTTTTGTTGTTTTTTGGAGACAGGTTTCCGTGTAGTCCTGGCTGTCCTTGACTCATTCTGTAGACTAGGCTGACCTTGAACTCACAGAGATCCGCCTGTCTCTGCCTGCCAAGTGCTGGGATTAAAGACCTGTGCCACCAACACCTAGCTGGATTAATAATTTAATGCCATCACCAGGAGGAGCAAAAGGAAGGCAGTAGGGCTTAGTGTATGTGTGTGGGGGGGGTCATGTCCTAATGATATCTATCTTAGTGGAGGGGGGTCATGTCCTAACGGTATCTATCTTAGGGGGTCATGTCCTAACGGTATCTATCTTGGGGGGTCATGTCCCAATGGGATCTATCTTAGTGGGGGGTCATGTCCTAACGGTATCTATCTTGGGGGTCATGTCCTAACGGTATCTATCTTAGGGGGTCATGTCCTAACGGTATCTATCTTGGGGGGTCATGTACCAATGGGATCTATCTTAGTGGGGGGGTCATGTCCTAACGGTATCTATCTTAGGGGGGGTCATGTCCTAACGGTATCTATCTTGGGGGGGTCATGTCCCAATGGGATCTATCTTAGTGGGGGGGTCATGTCCTAACGGTATCTATCTTGGGGGGGTCATGTCCCAATGGTATCTATCTTAGTGGGGGGTCATGTCCTAACGGTATCTATCTTGGGGGGTCATGTCCCAATGGGATCTATCTTAGTGGGGGGTCATGTCCTAACGGTATCTATCTTAGTGGGGGGTCTAACTTGCATTGTTCTGCTTTGCTTCCCGATGGCCATGATTGTCTGAACCACTCTGTTTGACCATTCCTTTCCCACCAGCAAATGGAAACCCTTCCTCCCCTTGCGCTAGTGGCTTCTTCATGGCATGGTCACAGTGACCAAGAAACTAATGTGTACCTGTACAGCAAAGTGCTTGGGGGTCTCCCCCATAAGCCCAATCTCCAATTCGTCATCTTCAGAATCTTGGTCTTCAGGATCCAACTGGCCCATGGGTGGCTCAGCAGCCATGATTGGGAAAAGGGCGTGCAGCAAGGGAGGCAGGAGGCGGTTCTTCAGCAAGGCCTAGGAGGGAGGAGACTGTGCCTGAACATCTCCGCCAAGGGGGCTCAGAAGAGAACTCTCCACCTGCCAACCACAAGAGCCCAGCAAAGCAGTCCCAGTCTCCTAGGCAGGGACAGGAGAAGGCTGGACCAGGGCTTGAACAGGACCCCAAGAATATGACTAAGAGTGGAGCTACCAGGATGGGTAACATACCCAGAGGGTACTTACTTACCTTACTTTTGACTTTGACCAAGAAAGTGAGGCAGCAGAGAATCCGTACACGAATTGCTTCGCCAAGGGCCACATTTTTAGCCACCTATACAGACACTAACAAAAATCAGGAACGAGCAAGAAAACTTCTAAGCTAAACGAGTATCAGGGGCAGCAACCAGCCCAGCTCACCTCCAGGCAGAGTGTGAGGACCTCAGCGATGTGGGGAGTAATGATAGGCAACTCCGACTCCAGCAGCTCATCCAAGGCCTCCAGAGACTCGCAGGCCTTTACCTGAGGGAGTGGTAAGCCATAGGGTACCAGGCTCCATTTTCTTCCCAAAAGGAGCCCTCCCATCTGTCCTTACCTCATCTATGGGGATCAGAGTTCTCACTGCCATAACGAGTTTGGGCACCAACATCCGTGCGAGAGGCTGGAAGACACAGGATCGGATTAGTCACAGACAACACATGCAGCCCATCCCAGACCCAAGAAACTAGTGGCTTCCTCACGGCATGCAATCCAAGGAGAAGGCTCCTAGGTACAGCGCCCCCTCAACTGTTAGGAAGAATGGAAGGCAGGACAAAAGTCTAAAGCATCTTAGGTCAGAACTTGCAGAGGTAAGGACACAGAGCACACAGTGACAGAGGTTAGTCTCACCACATCATCAGTCCTGAGGTAGGGGGCCAAGGCAGTCACAGTGCGCAGGGAGTAAAAGAGCTGTCCAGGGGCGCCTACATCACCAAGAGTGTCAATCAGAAGCTGCAGAAGCTCCTGCTGGTGGGCCAGGAATGCCTCGGGTTGGGAAGACACCACCACGCTCAGCAGCAGAAGTCCCACCTGTCCAGGAGATGGGGGCGAGAGGAGAAAGCTTCCGTGTCTGCCCAGCCTCAGTCTCCCCTTCCTGCCAGCAGTGCAGCCCGACGTACCTCTTTCTCAGGGCTGTTGTCGCTGTGAGTACTGTGCTGAAGGAGGTTCATGAACTGAGGCCAGGCTTCCAGCCCTTCCTTTCGAAAGATGGTGGCTGCCAGCTGGGCCAAGCTGACACTGACATAGTGCCTGCAGAGAGGAGTTCATCCGCAGGCGCCCCTCGCTACCCTCCCCTGCAGACAATGCCCCACCCTCAAGGAGCGCCGGGAGGAAAAGCGCCCGCGTTTGCCGCAGAGTCTTTCCTAAGACGGACGCCATAAAGCAACAGCTGGGGGGAAAGGAGGGAGGAGGCCATCACGATCTGGTTCCTTCAGCCCCTCTGGACAGGTTGAATTTTGGCCTGTTTCTCTAGTTTGGGTTTGGCAGATAATTTTCACCCATTCTCAAAAACAAACAAACAACCCTGGTTTTCACAGGCTCCACCCTCTAGATCTGAAGGACGTCTCAGCTCCCGAAGTCACAGCCTGGGGCTGAAAAAGGTCGCAGAAGCCCCTGGAGGACCTCAGCCTCAAATCAGTTAGGAACCCCAAGAGAGGGCGCTAAGCACTCACTGTGTCTCTCTCTGCAGGGCTGTCAGGACCAGGTTCTTGAGGCTGGAAGACAGGTGGCAAATGCTTGGTACCCAGCCTGTCAAAGCGTCGACTAGGCCCGGCCCCTCGCACCCCCATCCTAGCCCACCTCTCCCGTTGCTCAGGTGCCAAGCGTCGCCAGCGGGTGCTCAGTCTTCTGCGGGTCAGGACCGCTGCAAACTGGCGGATCTGGGGTGACAGAGGTAGCCAAATCAGAATGTCAGACAGCAGGAAGATGAACAGACCGCAGGGGGCGGAGGCTTGGGCAGGACCAGGGACACAGCGAGGAATTCCAGAATTTCCAGAGGAGGAGCAGGTAACTCGCCTGAGGATCTGTCGCAGAGGCCAACAGGTCGCAGAGCGCAGGCAAGGCGGCCGGGTCCCGAAGGGCGGTCTGGAGCTGCAACGTGGCCTGGTGGGAGGCTGGGGGTCAAGAGCGGGCCTTCCCCACAGCCTCCCCCTTCCCCTGGCCCGGCCTGCCCCTACCCGGCGGATGCGCTCGGTGTCCGGCAGCAGCAGCTCCTTTAGGATCCGCTCCAGCTCCGCAGGCTCCATGGCAGCAGCTGAGCCGCCGCTACAGGGCCGGGTGGGGAGGGGGGAGGAACGGCACTTGGAAACTCGGACACCAACTTCCGGCGGAAAGGGCGTTACTCTGCGTCCCTCCTGTCTGCCGCCTGGGTCATTCAGCTTGCTTCCCTTAAAAAAATTCCTGCTGGAGGCTGGCGTCAGCCGCCGTTTCCGTCAGGATGAGCATCGGCTAAACCACAGAAACCGAGCCCCGGCAACGTGGGATCCCCACGCCGACAGCTCCCATGGGTCCAGAGTTTGTGCGCCAGTAGCGGACCGGGTTTTTAAAGGAACTGTGCGTTGGTTGACTACAGGCCTCAGGGTTCTGTAACTAAACCAAAACCTCCAACTACAGGATCCTTTTTCTTAATAAACTTTATTTTAATTTGTAAAAAGAAAAAAAATCAGACTAAAGCGTAAGGCAACTTAAAAGTTCAAATATATATTCCTTATATCATAGAGATTTTAATTTCCAGGTCCTCTCTAAAGGGAGGTCCAAGGGGCGGGGGGGGGGGGCGCGGGGGAAGGAAGGCAACAATGCCATCACACAATTCAGTCAGAAGCTATCAGTGGAATCAATGGGGCATGATGAAGGCAGCAGGAGAGCAACAGTTCTGTCACTCGGAGCTCAGTCCATCTTGAGGTTAACATAGATATAACGGATGAACTTCAAGGAAGAAAAAAAGGAGATGGTGCCCAGCATGAGGAAGAAGACATAACCAGTCAGTAGCGAGTAGCCAAAGAACTCCACTGTCTGTACTGCCCCCGACATGTTGGAGCGCCGAGCATAGTAGAACACGGAGTAGAGGAAGATGAAGAGCCCCGTGGAGCCGACGCTCAGCACCGACCGCCACCACCAGCGGTAGTCCTCCCCTGACAGCTGGAAGTAGGTGAGGGCGATGGAGATGCAAGCCCCCACACTCAGCAGGATGGCGAAGACGAAGAAGAGGATGCCGTACAGAGTGTACTGCTCTCGGCCCCACACTGTGGCAAAGATGTAGTACAGCTCCACAGAGATGGCGCTGTGAAGACAAGAGAGGCACACATCAAAGCGCTTGCGCAGCCATGCCCACACCGTGCCGAGCCCAGCTCACCCACACCTCCCACACGGCAGTCACTAAGGAAATCAGGCTGCTGGTGATTCTTCTGCCTATGATCAGTTGTTCTTTTGTTTGTTTAGTTGGGTGGTTTTTCCAGACAGGGTTTCTCTGTGGTTTTGGAGGCTGTCCTGGAACTAGCTCTTGTAGACCAGGCTGGTCTCGAACTCACAAAGATCCGCCTGCCTCTGCCTCCCGAGTGCTGGGATTAAAGGCATGCGCCACCACCGCCCGGCTAGATTAGTTGTTCTTACGTCATGAACTTCTTACCCAACAGGCGTCCATCCATACCACTACTATTTGGGAGTCTGAGGCAGGAGGATTGCCAAATTCAAAGTCAATCTAGGCTACATAGCAAGGTCAAGGCCAGCCTGGAATACTTCATGAGACTGTCCACAAATGAAAGACAAAAAGGCTGGGGTGTCACTCAGTGGTAGAGTACTTGCCAAATAATGCAGGAGGCACTAAGTACACCCCATGAGTAGACAAGGGAGTAAGAAGAAAAAGGAAAAAACTAGATACTGTATTCTGTTTATTTTCTGCTGTGTTTAAAAGATACATAGCAGCTGGGCGGTGGTGGCACACGCCTTTAATCCTAGCACTCGGGAGGCACAGGCAGGCGGATCTCAGTGAGTGAGTTCAAGGCCAGCCTGGTCTGTAGAGTGAGTTCTAGGACAGGCTCTAAAGCTACACAGAGAAAACCCTGCATCGAAAAAAACCCAAAAAACAAAACAAAAAGGTACACAGCAAAATGAATAAGTAAACAAATATGCCTTAAGCTCTACGTGCTTGCAAACACTAAAGGGAAACCAGGTCCTGCAGGCATTGATATAAAGCTTACAGCCCATTTAATTGTTCTTTCTGTTTGCTGAGTAGGAGAGCTTCACAAGTGAAACACTCGTATCTGAGCTAGCTGAAGCTCATTCCTGATTAGCGATAGGAATGAGCTCTCGATGAACCGGGTTATGGCACTGAGGAAGTGGCAGAAGGGAAAGCTAAACCAACACCAACAGTGGCAAGATGCACTAACACCACGTCTATAATTCAGGCACCCAAGATGCACTAACACCACGTCTATAATTCAGGCACCCAAGATGCACTAACACCACGTCTATAATTCAGGCACCCAAGATGCACTAACACCACGTCTATAATTCAGGCACCCAAGATGCACTAACACCACGTCTATAATTCAGGCACCCAAGGCAGAATTGTTTTAAGCCAGCCTCATAAGATGGTCTCAAAAAAACAAACCAGACCAAACTAAAGCCCCCAAAAGTGATGGCCATGGTATGAAGTAAGGATACCTGAAAGGCAAGAAGCCACCAACAGTCATATGGATGACAGTAGACTTGTACCAGGGTTGGGGTGGGATCTCCCGGGCGATATTCTTGGTTCGACAAGGTGCATCAAAGGGACTGGCGTTGTTCTTCCCGAAGATGCCTCCGATGACAGTGAGAGGAAAGCCTACCAGTAGCCAAACGGTCAGAAGCAGCAGGATGGTTGTGGCTGGTAGAGCCTGTGTCGAGCCATTGGCCCAGTGCACTGAGTTCACCACACTCCACGTCAGGAAGAAAGGCACTGCAGGGAGGAGGGTCAGCAATAGGAGCAACATCCCCGACACCCCACTCTGACTGCACCTGAAGGGGACAGGGACGAAGTAGCCTGCCACTCACAGGGCCCAACTATGCTCCCAGATGTCCAGAGCTGACTGAGCTCATCTTGACCCTTTTATAGCTCACTGTTCTTTATTTTTCCAGCACCCTCTTCTCCCACCCAATGCCATCAAGAATCAAGACAGTTGCTCCATCATGCATGGTCTGAGAGTGATAATTCCTAGCATGAAACAGTCATTTGGGTTAATCTGCTCTCAGGTCAACCTTTAATAATACCAGCACTCCAAAGGCAGAGGCCAGCCTAGTCTACAAAGGGAGTTCCAGGACATTCAGGGCTATTACTCTGAGAAACCCCATCTTGGGGACGGTGGGAAGGGGGACAGATCTGGCTTGAAGGCTACAATGAACCTACCTCCAAAATAAAAGGAGTATTAAAACATAAATCTAAGGATGCTATTTAAGGGGGTTGAAGAAATGGTTCAATCAGTAAAGCCCTTTCCCCCAAAAGCATGACTCCAGTTGGATCCCCGGCATCCACATTTAAAACAACGGAAACAAGTCAGATGTAGTGGCTAGAGCTCATGATCCCGGCACAAGAGAGGCGAAGATAGGAGGTTCCTTAGGGCTCATGGCCATTCACTATAGTGAATTCAGGAGACCCTGGCACCAAAAACAAGGTGAATCCTGATGGAGGACAGCTGACAGTGACTTTTACTTTTCCCGTGCACACAAGTTCACAGCACTCACACAAATGTGCACACACCACATTACTTAGGCATACGGAACATCTGAGGAACTGATGACTCAGTGCGTAAAACACTGGTTTTTGTGAGACAGGGTTTCTCTGTGGCTTTGGAGGCTGTCCTGGAACTCACTCTGTAGACCAGGCTGGCCTCGAACTCACAGAGATCCACCTGCCTCTGCCTCCCGAGTGCTGGGATTAAAGTGCACAACCAATGCCCGGCTGGTAAAACACTTTTCATGAAGGCCTAGGTTCAATCCCCAGATCCCACATGAAATAAGCTAGGCCTAGTGGCTCATGCTGGCTTTTTGTTTTGTTTTGTCTTGTTGCTGTTGTTTTAGACAGAGTCTATTCAGCCCTGACTGTCTCGGAATTCTGTAGACCAGGCTGGCCTTGAATGCAGCCTTATGAGTGCCAGGATTAAAGCCATGTGTTGCCACCGCCCAGGAAGAGAGATTCTTTCTGATGGACTTTTCCTATGAAACCCCTGCCCCACCCTGGGGCTGGAGAGAAGGCTCAGTGGTTAATAGCACTTGCTGCTCTTACTGAGAGCTTGGGTTCGGTTCCCAGAACCCACATGGTAGTTCACAACTATCTATAACTCCAGTTCCAGGGGATCAGACACCTTCTTGTGGCCTCTGTAGGCACTGAATATGTGTGTTGTATATGCATACATGCAGACCAAACACTGGTACAAAGAAATATTTTTAAAAATCCTCCCTATATTCCCTGCACTGACTATCCCAGGCCCCAAGTCTGGCAGACCCACCACAAAGGGGGAGTTCTCACCAGAGAAGAGACTGGTGGTGAGAATGATGTTCCACACCCAACGCTCGCCTCCAATCTGCCGGTAGAAGTGGCTTGACACATAGCCAGAGATGCAGCAGGTCAGAGCATACAATAAGATGGCTGCTGAGTTAATGGCTCCATGACGGTGCACATTGAACATGCCCAGTAATGCCATGACAATAATGCCTATGGGGAGTAGTGGAAAACTCGTTAGGTCTTACCTCTACTTCATTGTCAGAGAAATCACCCCCTTAGCCCAGATCCAGAGCCTCATGTGATACAACTTCCCTAGTTCTACTGTCGGGAAAACCCACGCACAACCTCACCAGAGCTTCCTTAGGTTTTTCTCTCCCCTGAATAGAAGAAGACCACTGAACTTGTATAATAACCTTAGGTTTTTCTCTCCCCTGAATAGAAGAAGACCACTGAACTTGTATAATAATCTATCTACCACCCTTTGAAAGCAGCTCATATCACCTCACCAGTGCCAAGGGCCAGGAACTGGGCGCCCACACCAAGCACAGCACAGAGCAGACCACGGTATGGAGGGAAGCGGAAGACGTCTGTATGGATAATTTTCCAGCCATTGTCACCCTGGTCAAAGTCATCACTAGAGCCTCCAGAGCTGGTCTCTTCATCTAGGTTGTACCGAGCCAGGTCATTTCGAAGCACACGCATTAGAATAACAGCCACAAAACCCACCAGTAAAAACACAAGCACCATGGAGTTGATGATGGACAACCAATGGATTTCCAGTGTTCGAGGAAAGAAGCCACCATCATCACCACGGCGCCTGTCACTCCGACGCTCCACTGAAGTCTCAGAC